AAGGGTTGAAATTGGAGGAGGTTTTGTTTGGTTTGTTGGAAATTAGAAAGAGGTTTGGGGGATTGTTTGGATTTTAGTTTAAGTCGGTATCTCTTTTGGGATAATAGAAATTTTTCCTTATTTTTGGTGTAATAAGAAGCAAAATATCCCTCTTTGTGTTTACCGTGTTTTGATTTTCTTTTAGTATCAGTATAAGAAATTAATTCTTTACTGGTAATCGGTAAGATTTCCATAATTATTAATTCAATTAGCCAGCCAACCAAGTCTAGGAAATCTTACCTAAATCCGACCGGCTGGGCAGGCTAGTTCAATCAATAATCTTATTATATTTATAATTTTAGGTTTTATTTTAGTGTTTGTTCTATTTTTTATCAAACTTCTCCACCCGATAACAATTCACTACTCCTATAACATTAGTTTCATAATCATCAAAACACCACACTAATTTATAGGCTTTGTCGCCCGAGAAAGTTATAAAAGAATAGTAAGTTCAATGGTAATATCTGCCTTCTTGTCTTATTTCATCCTCGCCGTCTAATTGCTTCACTAATTCGCAAATTAATTCATCACTAATTATTATCCCAGGCATATTTACTATTAATTTTCACTTCCAAAGGCATGGCTAATTCTTCCGTATAATTTACTAATTCTTCCAAGCTTAATTTATCCAAATGACAAAATAAAATATACTCAGTTTTTACTTGGTCTATTCCTAGTTTTTTTCCTAATTCTTTTTCAGTAAGATTACTTTCCCGACAATAACGGGCAATAGTTTTACAGAGTTTATATTTGGCTTTTTCGGCAGGTGTGGCGTTAGGATGTAAGCCAATATTCACGCGACGATAGTCGGGCTGCTCTACTCTTTTTAAAAGTTTTTTTAATTCTTCCTCCGGAGGAAAAGTAAATTTCTTATTCTCAATTTTTCTACTCACCATAATACTTAATTTTTCCTCCCCTCATCATAACACTCCAAACTCCTCTCCAAAACCTCCACCAATTTCAACCCTTCCTCCCTAGCAATCCTTTTCAACTTCACCAAGAATTCTTTCCTCACCCTAGTCCCTAACTGATAAATCCTTCCACTCTTATTATAAACTTCTTCCATCAATATTAAAGTCTTCCTGCTGACTATTCTCTGTTTCTTCTACACAATCTCCGCAATAAGTATAACTTTGCTTTAATTCTGCTAAATTCCTAGCCCCTGAATAAGCCACTCCTCTCCGAAATTCCCTTCCACAACTATCACAAGAAAAGTTTATTTGAGAATAAGAATATAATTGCGTCATATACTTATTTTATAGAGGCTAGATAGACGCTATATTTACCTCCAATACCCCCTCTTCCCATACTCTCAAAACAAATACTTCTTCCTCTTTGGCATCCTCTCAATCAAATTTCCCAAGCAAAACCCACACAACACCTTCTCCTCCACCTCCAACCCTCAAAACCTCGGGTCATTCCTATTTTTAATTACTCCATGATGCCCTGCACTACTAATCTTTTTCTCACACTTTTCACATTCACTCCACCCACTCCCTTCACTATCCATATAATCAACTCGCACTTTCTCACTAGTTTCGCACCGACACTTCTCCAATTCCTCTTTATCCTCCTCCAATCTTTCAGCAAAATATTTATGTAATTCCCAGGCTTTTCTCCGCAAGCAACTACACATCTCCGGTCAATGTTCTTTATCTGCTCGTCATTGCTTCGCACACTGAATATCAATAGGCAAAACTCTTTCGCTGCTTAACCATTCTCATAAATCTAAACCCCAACTTTGCTGCTGATAAAACTTTTTTCACTCAACAAAGCGGGCTTGGTCTTCATAACTTTCTCCTTTGGCAAATCTTATTAAGTCTCTTTGATGCTCTTTGTGATGGCTTTCCTCATGAGATAACGCACTTTCATAAGTCAAATATTCGGTTCAGCTTTCCTGCTGATTTTGAAAATAACAGGGGCAACAATAATCAGAATTAAGCTTTCCGCAAACTTTTCTCTGATTACACCCTAAACAATAAACAGTCTTATATAGGTTCTTTTCTCTATAAAACTCTTTTCAATTTCTTTTCATATACCTTCATTGCTACTTATTCCCTGTGTTTAAGGTTTAGGTAGCACTTATATAAGTAATTTTAGAGGTTTTGTCCTCCCCTATTGCGTAATAAAAGAAAGAAGTGGAGAAAATGTGTTTTGTGGGGGAGGTTTTTGGGGGTT